CTGATGGGGTGACTGTGGTCAGAACCACCACACTTGGTCACTAGACCGTATAGTACAAGCTCTGGGCTGGAGGAGGGGCACACAGATGGAGAGTGGCCCTTGGAGCTCATGTTCAGTATATGGAGTAAAAGCATCTGGAAGAGGGTCATCAGCATCCTCCGACAGGGCTGAGTCTAGGTCTAGGGAGGGAGACCAGACATATCTCTGGGTGCCTGGGTTTGTTATCAGCTCCTATCTCTCACTTAGTATCTGTGTGATGTCGGGAGAGTTACCTAATCCTGCTGGACCTTGATTTTTTCCTCTGTAAAATGGGACAGCACTGTTTTCCTGGATAATAACTGTGTTTGTTTTGAGGCTCACATGAGAAAGTGTTAAAAACCTGGAAGAACTATAAAGCAATACCGAGGTCTGAGCCTCCATTGTTATTCCAGGGATAGTAGAGGCTTGGGGCAATGCTAGCGAAGAACACCCATGTCAGGTGCACTTACGTTCTCTCGGGCATTGTCTGTGTAGGCGCTTCACGTTCACGACCCCCTTCATGCTTGCACCAACCTCGGATGGAGGCTGCTTTTATCATGCCCATGGAATGGGTAGGGGAACAAAGCTCCAGAGAGGTTAACTGGTTTGCCCATGGTTGTAGAGCTAATTAACCATGACAGTGGGATTTGGACCCAGGCAATGGGGATTCTGGAGCTCAGGCCCCATCTTTCAGCTGTGGGGTCTCCTGAGAGTATGACAAACAAGGAGTACATTGTCAGCAGGAGTTAAGGAAATACCTTACTTTCCTGGCCACCCAGAAGCCTCAGGTTGCTGCAATGAGGAGAGCTGGAGTCTCAAGGTCATCGCAGGCTGGAGCTGGGGACAGTGAGCAGGGGTGGGCAGGACAGGCTGTTGCGCAGAAGATGGCTTTGGAGTATAAGCTGCAAGGATCTCACCCCTGGCATTGTGACCTACAAGTTGTCACCAACAGCTTCCTAATCTATAAAATAGGAAGATTATACTAAACTCAGGAGGCTGCTTCAGGGATTATAGGAGATGAGTAATGAATGTACATATTTTGTTTCAACTGATAGCTGGCACATAGTAGATGCTCAATAAGTAGCTGCTCTCTAGCCCCTCCCTCCTGAGACCTGCTGTTATTCTAGGTAACAAGGTGTAAAGGATGGTGGCACAGCCAGAAACTGCCTACACAGACACCTGAGCATACTACAGTTCAACAGTTAGAACTATGGGCTAGGGGGTTCTGGACTGCCTGAATTCATATCCTGGCTCCACCACCTGCTACTAGTCCTAGGACCTTGGGCATGTTTCTTAAACTTTTTGTGCCTCAGTTTCCTTATCTGTAAAATGAGCATAATAATAGTACCCACTTCACAGGGTTTGGGAAATATTAGATATTAATTAATCTGTGTAAAGCACAGAGAACAGTGCCTAGCATGTGGTAAGCATTCCATAAATGCCACCAGTGATGACTTTGATCAGCCCCCTGCATATTCCTGGGCTGAGTGGCATCTCTGGGCCTTTAGTGGGCTATATATTATACTGAAAACCCTCCATTTCCTTGCAGACCCCCTGTCAGATCCTGGTGGGTAGAAATCACTGCAGCCCGGTCACCTGATTAGGCTAGAGGAACTTCAGAGGAAGGGCAGTTTCTCATCAAGGGGACAGTGGTGATTTGAAAGTGGCAACAATGTATGAGTCTGAAGTTCAGGGTGTGAAATCTCTAAACTTTTTGAAGGTCTGTGTTCTAAGTGTGAACCTATGGTATTTGGGGTTCTGTATTAAGAATGTGAGGTCTCTGAACTCATTAAGGATGTGGTTTCCAACGTTTGAGTGTGAAGCATTTTGAGTCTGTTTAAGGTATGAGGCCTCTAAAATCTTCGAAGATGCTTGTCCCAAGGTTTTTTAATTAAAAAAATTTTAACTGTTGAGGTATAATTGATGTGCAATATTACATCAATTTCAGGAGTACAACAGAATGGTTTGACACTTGTGAAATGGTCACCACTGTATGTCTAGTTATTATTGCCACCTTACACAGGTAATGTAATATTACTATGTTCTCCATGCCGCACATTACATCCCCATGGCTTATTTATTTTATAACTGGGAGTTTGTACTTAATTTCCTTCACCTGTTTCACACTCCTCCCAGCCCCCTCCCCTCTGGCCACTACTGCCCTGTTCTCTGTATCTATGAGTCTGGGTTTTGTTTTGTTTTGTTTTAGGTCACACATATAAGTAGAATCATATGGTATTTATCTTTCTCTGACTTATATTACTTAGCATAATACCCTCTCAGTCGATCCATGTTAGTGCAAAGGGCAAGATTCTGTTTTTTATGTTTGAGCATCTTTTCACATTTCTGTTGGCCATCTGTATGTCTTCTTCAGAAATATGTCCATTTGGATCCTCTGCCCATTTTTTAATCACATTATTTTTGTGTTATTGAATTGTATGAGTTCTTCATATATTTCAGACTCTTACCTTGAAACACAGACCACCAAAGAGATCAGAGACCTTACTCCTGAGCCAAATTCCCAAACAGCACACAGACCTTAAACATTTAACAATCAACTTGGAAACTTCATACTCTGAAATGAGGACCCTCAAACTGCTCAGATAACTCACACCTTGGACATGGACCCCCAAGCTGCTCAGTGATCTCATACTTTGGATAAAGAAGCCCACACAGCTCATAAAAAGAGGCTTCCATATGGCTCAGGGGACTCACTCCCCTGAGCTGTTCAGAGGGTTGAACAGATACCTAAGATGTTCAGAAACATCACACTCTCTATACAGACTCCCCAAATAACTCAGAGACCTCAAGACCTGAAAATAGACACAGAAACAGCTCAGGGACCTGCCAACAAACTTATCTTGGATACATTTTCATAACTATCTCACAAGCCATATACCAAGAATACAAAATCCTAAATAGCCAGAGACCTCACACGTTAGGAAATAGCCAACCTCTTCTAGACCTGCAAGAACAAAGACTCCAACCAGTCAACAGATTTCACACGGGACATAGGCCCCTTAAACAGCTCAGAGAACTCACACTCGGAGTTCAGAGACCACAAATCCTAGATACAGAACTCACAGAGTCCAGAGACCTCCGATCCTGCACACAGACCACACCAAATAACTGGGAGACCTCAAACCCAGGATCACACCCCCAGACAGCCAGACAACTCAAAATGTGAGCGCAGACCTGCCAATAGCCCAGACACACTGTGACACAGACTTCCCAGGAGCAGAGATCTTAGGTAAAGAACCCCCAACAGCTTAGAAACATTACACCCAAGGGCACAAGTGCTAAAGGAACTCAGGACCTCATATGTTGAGAAATAAAACCCGCAAATCATTTAGAAAGCTTACACATTGAGAAATGTAAATCAAAACCACAATGAGCGATCACCTCACACCTCTTAGAATGGCCATTATCAAAAAGACAGGGTAGAGGTGTTGGTGAAGATGCAAATAAAAGGGAATCCTTGTGCACTACTGGTGGGAATGTATAGCCACCATTCTGCTATAGATAACAGTACAGAGTTTCCTAAAAAGATTCAAAATGGAACTACCATGTGACCCAGCAATCCCACTTCTGGGTACATATCCAAAGGAAATGAAAATGGTATTGCAAAGAGACAACTGTGGCCCCATGTTCAACTGCTGCGTTATTCACAATAGCCAGGACATGGGAACAATTTAAGGTGTCTGTCAAAGGATGAACAGGTAAAGAAGATGTGAAAAAATATTTATAGAATGGAATATTATTTGGCCATGAGAAAGGAGGAAACCCTGCCTTTTACAACAATTTGGAAGGAACTTGAGAACATTATGCTAAGTGAAAGTAAGTCAGATGGTGAAAGAAAAATACTGTATGATATCACTTATGTGGGGAATGTAAAGCAGCAGAATTCAGAGAAACAGAGTAGAGTGGTAGTTACCAAGGGCTGGGGTGGGGTAAATGAAGACATATTGGTCAAGGGTACAAACTTACACTTATAAGATGGGTAAGTTCTGGGGATCTAATATACAGCATGGTGATTATAACAAATAATACTGTATCATATACTTGAAACTTAAAAAGAGAGCTGTTCTTAAATGTTCTCACCACACACCAAAAAAAGGTAATTATGTGATGGGATGGAGGTGTTAATGCTACGGTGATAATCATTTTACAATTTATAAGTGTATCAAATCAACACATCGTACACCTTAAACTTACACAATGTCAAGTGTTAATTATATCTCAAAGAAGCTGGGAAAAAAGAAAGAGAAAATGGTGACAATGACTACGTGGTGCAGGGAGTTGGTAAAGTGCACACACACACACACCTCTGTGTCTCTGTGCTTTTTGCATTTAGAGCCAGATTTGGCTCAGCTGAGTGGGTTGTTTTATTTCTTTTGCTGTGGATAACAGGCACCCATGTTTGGGGCTGTTGAGCACCCATGAATAATTCCCACCCTGATGGAGGAAAGACTCGGAGACACAGGTGAGAGATGGAGCACCACTCCATTCCCAGGCATGTGCAAAAGAGGCACGTTCTTGCCAGCCAGAAATTTTACTCTGCAGGGTTTTGTTTGAAAAGTACAGCACGACAATAATTCACCTCTTGTGGAGACAGGGAGAGAGGCACGGCGAGTGGGGGAGAGGAGGGAGGGAAGGAGAGAGGACTAACAGAGAGCCTGCGAACAGAGACGCTGCACACCGGCATGGCATCTTGTAATCGAAGAACCAGAGCTTTCCCACGGAGCCCAGCTCCTGTCCTCCTCCACCCCTGGCCCCCGAGGGACCTGCTCATTGTTAAATTAAGCCCGAGCTTCTCATTTAAACTAGCGGAGCCTCAGCCTCCCCTCGGCAACGTGCAATCGGCGGGCGCAAACTGCCCTGCAGGGCTGGGACCGGAGGGAGGCGGCGGTCCGCCGGGCGGTGCCCTGGCTGAGGGAGGGGGTGCACCGCAGGGGCCCCGTCGCCACGCCCGCCGGGCCTACCTGAGCTGGCGCGGCTCGCAGTCCACGCCGGGCAGCAGCAGCCGGGCCGCCTGGCGGACGTCGTCGCTGTCCATGGAGAAGCTGCGGCGGTGGCCGGCGTGCGCCACGGCCACCCGGATCCACTCCATCAGCGGCGGCAGCACCAGGAAGGGCCTGCGGCAGGAGCGAGCGGAGACGTTAGGCGGTGAGGCGGGGGCGCCGGCTCGGCCCCACCCCCGCCCGCCAACGGGTCCCCCTCCTTCCCCGCCCGCTGTCCCTGGAGACCAGGCCTCGGGATCCCCCGGCTGTGGGAGAACCTTTGGAGGCATCCCGAGCGCTCTGGTGACCTCGGGGCAGGCTCTCCCGAGTCTTTGGACCTCAGTTTCCTCATCTGTAAAACGGGGATAATGTGGCTGTGAAAGGATCCGGGGAGACCATTCTGTGAGGATTATCTTCCTGAGATCATGTGAACGTAAAGGAGATGACTCATTTAAAGCACCAAGCACAGTGGCTGGACTTGGTAGAAAATCCCCCCAAAGACTGGGGGTTATTAGTACTCGGGGCTCCCATTCTGGGCCCAATCCTGGTGTCCCCCAGCTCTCCCTCCTCCACCCCCAGCCCGCTGCCCGTCATCCTTATGGAGCTCTGCCAGGCTTCAGCTCTGCCCAAGCGCTGACAGGCAGCTTTAGCCCCTGGGAAAGGCAGGGACAGCCAAGTTCAGGGGAGGCCTGGAGGGAGCGCCAAGCCGGCTGCAGCCCAGTCACAGCCCGCGGAGTGGGCGGGGCCTCTGGGGCTGTCACACCCACGCCCCCACGAGCTTTGGGAGCCCCAGGCTCCTCCTGCTGTGAGACCACAGCAGGGGGTACAGCTGGTTGCAACAATTAACTGAGACACGCCCACCGCTGACCTCTAACTTTCTAAGTGTAGTACATTTGTGCCAGCTTCCTATTTCTTCCAGCGAGTCCTCACATTAGGGTTACTTCGGAGGGGGAGGCATTGTGGAGAATATTAATAGCTGAGTTCTATCCCAGGGATTCTGATTTAATTCATTTAGCACGGCGCTGGACAGTGGTAGTTTTTAAAACCACCCCCATGGGAATTTCATGTGCATCAGAATTATCTGGAGGGCTTGTTAAAGTACAGGTTGCTGAGCCCCACTCCCAGAGTGTCTGTTTCAATAGATCAGGGCAAGTGGTGGAGAATTTGCATTTCTAACAAGCTCCTGGGTGGTGCTACCCTGCTCTAAAGTACTGTGTGTGTGTGTGCACATGTGTGTGTAAATGCAGATTCCTTGGCCTCACCTCCAGAGATGCTGATTGTGTGGGGTCCAATGATATCATTTTCATGAGCAGTCCCTATAATATTGATTTAGTTAGGCCAATGACCAGACTTTGACAAACACACTGTATAGATCAAAAGGGTTTCCTACCATTGAACAGGGCCATGAGGCACCACTGAACAGGCCTCATCCTTGAGGCACCACGACCAGGTGCCTAAGTAGGGAAATTCAAGGATGCCAAGTCATGCAGGTATGTTCTAGGCATCTCGCTGACCCCACCCTAGCCCCAGTGTGTCCACTAAGTCCAGCATGGCTACTCTGGGAGTGAGAAGGGGGTAGAAAAAGAGGCATTACAAAGCAGCAAACTCGTCCTTGTATGCAGACGTCGTGAGCTTCCCACCAAGTTTTTGGTGGCTGATTCCAGTTCTCCTAGAGAGCAACCTATTTATCCAATGGTAATATTTCACAGCTAAGCCTCTCACATTCATCTCGGTTCATCCTATTCATGATCACATAACTGCTTAGGGCCAACTTACAGCTTGTGATGATCATGCCCATTTTCTAGATCAGGGGAATGAAGTTTATTGAGATTATGTAACAAGCCCTGGGGCACAAGGTGAGCAGGTATGGGAACTGGGAGTCAGACCCAAGACATGTGACAACGTAGCCCATATGCCAGAACCCCATGTAATACCGACATTCTCTTGTCCAACTTTCCAGCATGCACTCTGTTAGCCCGGCAAGCCCCTGTTACCCCAGGGGATCTGATCTGGTCATGGCCCTTTGATGGCAGGCCATTTTTCATTGCTGCTCATGCAGTTCAGTCAGGTCTGTAAGGCCTCCAGTCTTTCAAAACTCCACAAGCTACTGAACCTTCAATCCCCAGTTTAAATTCCACCTTTCTCTAAACCTTTCTCCTGATGTCTCCACCTCACATGGACCCCTCCTGTGGCAGACCTGCCCCCACTGGGCCTACCCACTGGCCTTTCAGGTGTCCCATTAGAATGTCAGCTCCATGGGGGCAAGGACTTGAGACTGCTAGGTTCACTGATCCAGCCACAGCCCCAGGACAGGGCCTGGAAGGCTGTAAGCACTTAATAAATATTTGTTCATCAAATAGCCTAAGATTTACCAATTTCTTACTGGGCAAAATGGATAAAATCAAGTTACTGGACCCACAGACCTGTGGGGCAGTCTCCCAAGGAATTTCTGCCTGAATCAGTCTGCTGCTTAGGCTGTCGCCCTCATTCCCTCATCCTTTCCATCACCTAAACTGAATCAGGCACTCAATAAATACACACTGACTTGAAATTGAATTGGATTCTACTGTCGCAGGTGAGTGGGACTTATTTTTGTCACCATGTGTCCATCTCTGCTCAAACCAGCCCTGAGGGCTCTGAGAATTCCCCTCTGGGTTGTTTTTCAGAGGCAGCCCTCCCCACCCTTTGCTCAGAGCCTGGGAAGCACAGTCTACAACTCCCAGTCCCTGGGGGCTGGTCTCTTTCACAGACTGCCCTTTGGCAGCTGCCTTTCATGTTAGATGCTGAGGCCCAGGGCACACAGCCAGCTCTTGATGAATTCTGAAGAGGAGAGAACCAGGCTCTGCTGCCTTCAAAATAGCACCTTTACCATGACAGCCGGTGAGTGGCAGAATGAGAAACCTTGAACCCCAGGATTCCAGCCCCCTCTGGAATTTTCTATGCACCTATTCTCTCCTTTCAACATTGCCTTCTTTCCATCATTCTGACCTCAATAGTTTATAAGCTCATGAATTCTTTGCCAGCAACTCATTTAAAAATCTTATCTCGTCCATTCAGGCAGAAAAAAATAGTGTTATTTGTGATGCTTCTTTTTGAGGAGTTGGAGATGGGAAAGAATTCTAGGGCCCTGAGTTAAGGAGAGGGTGGAGAATGCTGAGGGAAAATGATTGCATTCTCCTTATGTATTTTTCTAAAAGAACAATGTTCCACTGGCTGCCGGCTTTGTTCTGAAGTCGTCTGTAGTGATTAAAACCTAGAGGAAGTTGGAGGAGCTCGTGGCTTAGTAAAGCAGTTCTTAGTTTGTGTTTAAGGTAAGAATTATGGGGGAGTGTATGAACACTGACTTCCACTTCAGAGTTTTGGTTCAACAGGTCTGGGGTGGGGCCTGGGCATCAGCATTCTAAACAAACTCCCTGGGAATTCTGGCACACAGAACCCCACTGAGTGTGTCTGAGAAACACACTGTGTAGATAACCCCCAAATGGGAGGCCTGAGGTGAACAGAGTGGGGACATGGTCAACTCAAACAGAGCAATGGCCATTGAAATCTTTGCTGTGGTGTTTGAAGACAAGGTATGCAGGGGCAGGGGAACACTGGGGGTTCCTCAAGGGAAGAGAAAGCCTCAAGGAGCTTTTTGCAGGGCCCAGAGAGCAAGTAAGCTCAGGAAGGTCGCTGGGCCCAGACTCAAGTAGGAAGTGGAGAAAATACGTGGGTGGGGACCTTCTGAAACAGTGAAAAGAGCTGGTGATGAAGGTGACCTCCCAGAACTGAGAGGGACTTTTGTTGGGAATGGGCTGGATGTTAAAGAGGATGGTCTGGGAAGTGGGTCTGGTTTGTTTGGAATTCTGCAAAATGATCTCCAATCCTGATTCTGCCAGGAGCTCAAGCAGGCCTCTGGCTCTGGTCTACAAATGTTTTGGCCTTCAGTTTCTTCATCTGTGAAGTGTATGGGTTTGGGTCAGATGATCTACTTTAGGAGTCAGCAAACCTTTTTTGCAAAAAAGACTGGATAGTAAATATTAGTTAGGCTTTTGGGGACACAGCCTCCGTTGCAATTACTCAATTTTGCCATTGTAGTGAAAAAGCAGCCACAGACAATACACAAATGAAAGAACTTGGCTGTGGTCTGACGAAACTTCATTCACAAAATCAGGTGGTGGGTCATAGTTGGCCAACTCTGGGACTATTTAGCTCTTTCTTGCTCTCAAATTCTTTGATTCAATTGAATAGCCAGTTGCCTGGGAGCTTAGGGAGAGTCTAGTGTGTGGACTAGGGAAGATGGGACAAAGCACATGAAGGTCCTAGTAATGGGGACAGAAAGCTTTGGAGAGATTAACAAACAGGAGGTCACACCTGGATTTGGGGAATACAGAGCCACAGGTATATACAGAGGCAGTGTCTTCAAGGATAAAACCCAAATCTGCCATGGGTGTATAACCCAGAATAAACAGTGTGGAGGTGGGGTGGTGGAGAGGTCTCTCAGAGAAGTGACAAAACCTCAAAGACAAGAGGGAATTGGCCATATGGGAATATGCAGTGTGCATGCAGAGTGATGGACACCCTGGGCAGCAGTAACAGATTGTGCAAAGGCCCTGAGGCAGAAAACAACTTTACAGCTCACTAAAGTCTGTCACATGCATCACTTCCTATTTGGCTAGGACATGTGTGAGGAAGGATCACTGTGGCAGGCTGATAAGGGCCCTCAAAGATGTTGGGTCCTATTCCCCAGAACCTGTGAATGTTGATGGCAAGACAGACCCTGCAGGTGTGTGATTCAGTTAAGGATCTTGAGAAGGAAAGAATATCCTGGATTATCCAGATGGGCCCTAAATGCCATCATAAGGGTCCTTATAAAGGGGAAACAGGGAGATTTGACATGGATGATACTGAAGTGAGGTGCTTTGTGGTGAGCTTTGAAGATGAAGGAAAGGGCCACAAGTCAGGGAACGCAGCTCTAGAAGCTGGAAAAGGCAAAGAAATGGATTCTTTACTTAGAACCTCTAGAAGAAAACAGCTGTGCTGACACCTTGATTTTGGCTCAGTGAAATGAATTTTGAACTACTGACCTCCCAAACTCTAAGAGAATAAATGTGTGTTGTATTAAGCCTCCAAGTTTGTGGTAATTTGTCACAATA